ATGGAAAGGGAAAAAGCTCACGGGAGTGAATCCGAGGGAGAGGCTTTAGAACTCATGGTTGAAAACTTTGGATCCATGATAAGTCGTAGGTTTTTATGGAGAGTAAGGAAAGCAACTTTTTCCAACCTTTCCCTTTCCGCTCAGAAGGATAGAAGAAGCAGGGAGTGAAAAAAGCGAGAGTGAAAAAGAGAGAAAAAAATGAACTCCCCCCTCTTATCACGACGACGATAAAAGAACTATTCCCTCCTCAAAAACGATTGAACCAATAACCATCGGAGAGAAGAGAGAGAGAGAGAGCCAGATGAACAAGCACCCTGCTTGCACAACACAGGCAAGCTCGCAAACTCCTACTGAACCTCACCGAAAGGGAGCGTGTGGGGATAGATGATGTGATAGAAAGAAAGGTTTTTTTTTTTTAAAAAAAAAAAAGGAAAAAGGAAAAAGGAAAACAAAAGCGCCAGTTATTCAGAGGATTATTAGGAGAGGAAAACGAATGTGTGAGAAATGGTATATGGGGGGAAATCTCACTCTTGATATATCTTTTTTTCCCTTTCTTTCTTCCTTTTCGAATTCAAACCCTTTCCGCGGATTATCAACTATGTTTCTTTCTTCCTTTCTTTTTTTCCCCTTATTTACACTTCACTCCATTTCACAGATATCCATCTCACCCACCACTACCAACTCTTGGGAACACTTTGCTAGACAAGGACATATAGGGGGGTCAGTTAGGAAAGAGGTAAGAAAAAAGTTAATAGGTAGGGAAAAGAAAATAAAGTTACAAATGCGTATCCCACACCCAGCAGCAGCGGGGAGATCATCATCCGTAAAACACGAGAGATTGACCGTGCCCCACATTTCTGGTACCAATAGTTCCGCATATGGGGAGAGACGGGGTACTACGAATGTCCTATCGCCAACAGTGCCAATAGGAAAAAAGAAAAGGAGAAAAAGAAAAAGAAATAGTCCGCTTGCTTTTGCATTCCTCCCCACCCAGTGGATGAGTGATAGCTTATGTGCGACTTCCGCGTGATACTCCATGACACCCGCCCCATTTCAATATGTTCAACAAGCACAATACATCATCTACTTTCATTCCCCCTCTTCCCCAATTCAATAACGAAGGATATATTTGGGGAGGGAAGTACTCCCCGTATGAGTATCACAAGTTCTAGAGGGAGCTTTTTCCCAGGACTCTTTTTTGCAAATGGAATAGGAAGGACGTTGATCTTGTTCCCCACCACCACCCCCTCCTATATTGTGCCCAAGTGGTAATTGCAATCGGATCCCCTTCGACTTTATGCATAAGCTGATCAGAGGGCAGTGCTTATACCATAACAATATACGAGCAAAATAAAAATACAGCACAGTCCCAGAATAGAGGCTTGAGCACAAAACTTACTTTCCATTTTCTTGCTTCCACCGCGCGTGGTTAGACCAACTAGCATCGCTTCAGCATTTTTATTTTTATTCTTATTTCCACTACCCTCTACTCTCCCAATGCATCGCAAACGAGATGTAATATCGTTTTGGCGTTTTGGGGGCTTTACATACCGCGATTATTTTCCGATGGAGAGGACTTGGTAATACCCCTTGCATGATGCGTTGTCTAATGGGGGACGGACAGGAGATGAGAAGACAGGATAGACAGCGAGCCAACATGGCCGCATCTCGTGCTTGGATAAGAGGAAGAAGGAAAAAATATTGAACCCCGCCTATACATAGACAAGGCAAAAATTCAGCCGGGCCGGCCGCTCTTCTGGACTGTGAGTGGGCAATTCTGGGTGAGCCCAGTGGAGGTGAAGAACTGTAAAACCCTCTTAGCCTTCATCCCTTTCCTCCATCTTGCTTTTGGCCCTTTTCATTACTACTGTCTCTTTTTATTTTTCAATCATCCACGAGGTGGATGGAGTAAGGGGATTAATGGACGGATCCGTTCAGCTTGGTACCCATTATTTGCCCAGTGGAGAGAGATGGCGATTCTGCTCCACTGTGAATTCCGACAATTACCAACTCTTCCCGCTCCCTCGGGCCTTTGACGGATCCGTGAGAGGAAGGGGTGGTCGGGAGGGTAGAGCAGAGGGATAGTTTCTTCTGATTTGTTCGTCCTTTCCCTCTTTTCCCATCTCTTCCAATTGAGACACCATCGATTGATGAGGTTCTCAAAACAGTTGGTAACATAAAACTCACCGAAGATCATTCCACCGTGGGAAAAAAAGACAACCCCTCCCATATGAAATCAAGAAAAAAAAACTGAGGATAGGTCTTGTTTCTCATGCAGATGGCCAATGGAGAAACATCAAGATTTCTGTTTACCCACCCTTCTCCATCTCTCCTTCCTCCTCCAACCTCCACTCCAATTATCTATCCCTTGGCCTCAGTTTTTTTTTTTTGTTTTTCTCGCTCTTCTTTTCCGCTTCTGAACTCGACGAATGTGAATATGCATCCTCCCGAGACTTCCATAGATAATCACAACCTCGGGGATCGAAGAGACGAACTGGTGGGACCGTGACGGCAACGAAAACAGTAGCAAGCCCACTCATGACTGCCGACCGTGGCACAAAGATTTAAAGGACACCAAGAGATCTCGTTTACGAACACCATTATACATAGTTCACGCCACCTGCCGTGGGTCATCTTCGCTGGGGGCACGGAGACCAGCGCCAGGCAACTGCAAGTGTGTATGTGTGTGTAGGGGGGGGGAGGGTAGTAAGTGTAGAAAAAAGCGCAAATTCTGTATTTCATGAGGTTTGTTGGATATCTAGTATCACCCTCGTGGTCCATGTGAGGGCCAGGGGAGGGGGTAAAGCTAGTGAATTAGAAGGTTAGCAGAGCAAGCAAGCACAACCATAGTCCAAGTGAGTAGATGCGGGTGTATTGTGTGGGTGTGTGTAGGAGGGGTGGGGTATGTCTTTGATGAGGTAGATACATATATACATTAAACTTTATGTATAGTTATGGTATAATAGTAGAGGTGTAGTATGATAGTGTCTCTAGTGTGTATTTGAGTGTTTGTCCGTACCTGGCAGAAAGCGGTAGCTAACCAAGTCATCTCCCGCAGTGACACATAAGCCAATGATCTGACAGACACCGAGAATTTGGAATCGAACCCACGGATCACACTGGCTGAAATGATGAGCATGCGGACCTGGGGATGATCAATGGTGGAACAAGAGCAGGCAGGGGCCAAGCAGCAAAGCTACCGTAGCCCTAAATGTCTTTGATTAACTTATCATCTTCCTCTCCCCCCCATCTTGCCGTCTCTTCCCACAGTTCCCCGGATTTATGTGGCTATTCTGACTCGAGGAAGAGAACACCGTACATAGAAAAGTCACCCTCTCTCTCCCATCCCCCCCACCGACGAGATCAAATGCTTCCTGATTCGCTCGGTTCGTGCTGCAATTTTCTTGCATGAATAGGCTCGGTAAGGAATCTCCGCTACACCATATCCCAGAGGCCAAGATGGGTGCTTGCTGTGTGCGTCGATGTTCAGCCTGGTTCAGCTTAATGGAGAATCAGGGGGTCAACCGCAGATGGCTGGGTGGTCCTTATGATCCATCCATTAAGGGCAGCCTTCAGCGCCGAGGCTGCGAGTAGAGAGGTCTCATGGTGGTCCGAGAATTCGTAGAGACTGCAGCATGCGGTACCTTTCCTAACTGCGTTCAATTCCAAGTGCCGGAACCGGCAGGAGATGGCCACGGAACCAATATGGCACCATTGGGCCCCACAGTCAAGCTTCCAGTGCTCCCAGCAATTGTCGGATGCACCGAGCATCCACCTGCTGCACCAAGATGATCCAGTTGTGAGGCAAGTCGTTAACGCCAGTCTAATCTCCATGACATGGCAATCGCGGAGCTGTCAAATTAGGCTTCTTACCTCATAATAATAATGGACGAATGTCGAGTATTGGAGGAAGTTTTGAGCAGATACGAGAACCAGTAATACAGGAGGCACTGCAGTCAAATAAGCTCAAGTAAGCGAGCGAGATTCGCAAAGAAAGCTGCCCCATAGGGTTGGGTTGAGTTCCTGACGATAATTTATGATACTCGTACACTTACCACAAGACACTATTTCCACCAAATTTTTACTTTTTCAAGAGAAAGAGTTTCCTGAAGAGGTTTTACTCTCACCCGCCACCGCCCCACACATTACCGTAACTTGCTCGAGGATTTGACTACTCCAGTTTCACCAGATAATTGTACTCGAGCAGTGGTAGAGGCAATACAGTGCTTGTGGCCGGATCCACCACATTATGCTTAAAAAAACAAACCACCGGAAAAGAAACTGAGGGCCTGTTTAGCACATTGGAAAGATATCATTTTTCTGACTTTTATGGCTTTTTTTTTTTTTTTTTTTTTTGCGAACTATGATAATATACAAAAAACATTGTGATGTTTTTTAAAGTGCAATATTTTTTTATTTATAAGTCATCTTAGGTATAGGGTTGATAAGGGGAAAGTTTTGAGTATGATACCATAATATTATCATACTGTTAGATGAACTATTATCATATGTTTTGTTAGCTTAAGGCCTAGTTCTTTATCATTGACCCTGTTAATATGATAAACATGTGTGGGAAAAAATATCGCGAAAAAAAATATGGCACTGCCAAACACAAATATTTCTAGAAAATAGCATTTTTCCATTTTAGAATAAATGCCACTTTCAGGGGAAATCACAATATACTTATATTGGTATCACACATGTCAAAAAGGGCTTAAATATCTTAACATCGTACTTTTTGGTCATAGCTCAATTCACAGGCCCTTGCCGGATTTTGGTTTTCATTGCGATGATCAGAATGGTAGGCCATCCGGGCATGGACTTCCCCATTCTTTGATCGATTTATAGCAGAATCTGGATTTAAGTCGAGAAAAATGCTATTTTTTCTTAAAAAAAAAATTTTATTATAATGGTGGCATACCAAACGAAGTCTGGAATTTTAAAGTGCTGCAAGCATTTCACAGTAAATTGGCCAGTAACAAATTGTTTTGGTCAAGAGCTAAGGGGAAAAAATTCATCACCACAAGGTATCTTTGATTTGAAGGGAAAAAAGGTACAAAAGGGCAAAGAAAAGAAGCATCAAGAGCAAGCTATGCACCACAAAAATATATATAATAAAAGGAAATACGAGTGAATAGTTACTGAATGAAGTGAAAGCCCCAATTACCGTGTATTTTGAGTAGCAGAAGATAACATGCTGTTATTCATCGCACTTTATACCTCCAGATGACGGCCTTGAACGCCGTGACTGGAGAAAATGAATGTAAAGACAAGGCAAAAAAAGAAAAAAAGAGAAAAAAAAAAAAAAAAACGCAAGCAACCGGAACCTTTTTAGCAGACGAACACCAATCAACTTCATTGCCTCATCATGCTTCCCCAATCTCCGTAAAGAGGATCTTGGAGACTAACAATAAAATTGGTGAGCCCTGACCTTACCCCTCCAGGATAACATTCGTAGTAATTGACAAACACTAAAAAACCCCTCAAAGAAAGTCCAGAAATCCAGGAGTATAAATTTACAGGATCATAGTGGCGGCAACGACGGCGATCAAGGCGAAAGTGGTGATACCAGCGCGTCCAGCGGCAGCATTCTTCTTCTCACCACTTCCTCCTGAACCGGATCCACCACTGGTTGAAGCACCTCCCTCACTGGACTTGGCCTCGCTAAGCTTTCCCTTGCAGGTGTACTCGTCCCCTTTGATTACTCCACTGCTTTTCTTCTTGTCGAACTCAGCGCAGCTGAATTCCTCCGTGGTTTGAAGGTTAAATCCACCACGGACATCATCGAGCTCGGGAAGAGTAGCGCTTTTAGAAGTCAGTGTTATTCAATCAAACGCAGAAAAGGTAATCTTACTTTGTGAAGGTACCAGACAAGTCAACGGAGCCACCAACAGTTTTTAAGGAACGGAAGCCATCGAGTTTTTGGAATTTGGTGTTGTTGGCAAATTGGAAGGTACCACCGACGGATTCGAGGTCGTTGGCAGTGACGTTAGTCAACTTGGTGTTGCTGTTGAACGCAAATGACTGGCCAACCTTCTCCAACTCGGGGAAGGAAACAGACTCAAAATTGTTTTGGATGAAGGCAATAGAGTTATTAACATTGGTGAGCTTGGGGAAAGAGACTTGACCAGCCTCACGGATAGTAATGTTAGTAGCCCAGACGAGCCGAGGGAAGGAGCAGTTGAGTGATTTCCCGTTGAACTCGACAGAGAGAGCCTCGCTAACATTCCCCAAAGCAACATCAACAACGTTCAAGTATTTGTTGTTGTTAATATTAAAGGTCTTTGCGGTGACCAAGCTAATACCGGTAAGGCTCCCGAGGTTGGTATCGGTGATGAGGACGCTCGACGCCTCAGTAACCCCTTTGGTGAAGGTCAATTGGGAAAGAGCGGGAAGGGTAGTCCACGAGATAGTGCCAACTTTGATCAACTCAGGCATGGACAAGCTAGACAAGACAGTCAAGCCCTGCATAACGAAATCACCCTCAATCCGTCTGAGCATAGGGCAATCAACAGAAGTCAATCCGACGGCTCCCTTGATGGTAAGATCTCCTTCAATTGTCTGGACGCTCGGCAAGGACAAGGTGGTAAGACCTTCTCCAATTGTAACATCCCCTTTGATAGTGTTGCAAGAACTCAAGGCGCTAACATCGCTATCGCTCTTGATCTCGACACTCTTGTCACATTGGGCTAACAAGGACAAAGTCAGCACGAAATCAATCTTTAAAATATTCTGTAGCCGAGCTCATCGAATGGAATTGATAGCAAGGGCCAAGGGAAAGGGGAATGCAACAATGGGTAAATGGTGAACGTGATAGGGGCGGGGATGGTGGATGTGTGACAAACCATTGACAGCTCCGGCAACGGCCACAGCCGCAAGGATGAATCTTCTCAGAGAGATCATCTTGTGTGTGTATTAATATTTGGTTGTGTAAGGAGAGTTGTAGAAGGACGATGGTAGGTATTATGAAGTTGTAAGAAAGCAGCGAGAACTCAGAAACAAACACTACTCTACCGCTCGGCTCAACGAACTGAGAGAAGTTGATGAACGAAGGTGAGGGGGTTTCGAGTGGCTGGATGAACGAGAGACTGGTGAAAAAGAAGCAAGAGATGGGCAGAAGAGGGAAGGGGAAGAGGATAGAAGCGGAAAAGACGATGAAAGGGAAGAAGTCTTGTGTTGAATAGAAAGCGGCAACACGGGGAAGAAAAGAGGGAAGGAAAGAAGGAAAGGGATTTCTGGGCGGAGGAAAAGGGAGGAACGCGGGAGAGAAAAGGATGTGGGAAAGATGAGACACGCAGCATTACCTGATCCGACGCTAGCAGCGGAAGCAGCAGGTGCGACGGCGGTCTTGGTGGGCACACACCGTTAGATTTTGCTGCCAGGGGTAGACTTTTCTATGGCAAAGCGCTAGGACCGAGGCAGGCGTGGTGTGTGGTGGTGTATGATAAAAGCTGCTGCAACCATCATTTGTGTGGCTAAGGGGTGGAATGCTCTGCGCCCGGAAAGACGTAAGTTAAGGGGTTTATTATTGGAAGGACCGTTATTTCCACCTACTCGAGTATCTATACTGACTGTACTCAACTACTTGTACATGCACTCGTACCCGAGCATAGTATTTAATCTCTACATACCCAAAGGTCTTTTGCCCGCTGCCGCCGTTTCCTTCATATCATTCTTCGTGCTTGTACCCCAGACTTTTCATTCTATTGCAGACAGTGTTATTGTTGTCGGACACGGCAGGGCAAATAAAAGTAAACATTGGCATCATATTGGGATAGGCTGGTGAACACGGCCATAAACAACCCTACAAACGGAGTGGCCCGTGGCAGAACATGATACCACGGGATGGAGGCTGATTGAAGGTGTCATACCTGTAAACACGTTGAGTTCTCACGATATTGCCATCATCAATGAGAGAAGGGGTGAATATGCGCTACACCCACCAAGCCTTCGTCAAGTGAAGGGCGCCACAACGAGAAAGCGAATGTCTATGAGGATGATGACAACTCCTACATCTGGCAGCTCTGGGTATTCCGCAGCACAACATTTTTGAAAGCACTAGACACGCATGCGATCCCTCCTCCAGCCAAAGGTAGCGTATCGCATCAGAACGCATATCGCCGCGGCTGTTTGTTGTCGCAAACAGTGAACCTCAGGAGCTCTCCTTCGGATATGTTTCGAGAATCCAAAGCGGATGGATCAGAGCCGCCATGAGATGATGTCGAAAGGGGAAGCATATCATACAGTACTCGTACAACCCGAAACAGCGGGGGCTCGATCACAGTGCCGTATATCCCCAATCCCTGTACTGTACTCGGGCGCATCCGTGAAAATAGGAACGCAGAACTCTTGCCTCTCCAATGAGTGCAGGCAATTATTACCGGTATGTGGGATCAGGGGAAATACAAGTAAGTAAATACCGGTAGCTTTCCCATTTTTACTGACAACCTGTCTGTACGAGTACAACCAAAAACGCAAGCCCTTTTCCCACCACTCACCAGTGCAGCATCGTCAATGGTTAGCACTCGCTTGCTGTGCCAGTGCCGTAACAGGAACAGGTTCCCTAACTCACGATTGGAGACACACCACTCGCAGAGATCTGCAGGAGCAGTTCCAGGCTTTGCCCAATCCTTACCCTTATCGAGAAAATATCATACCGGTGGTGATCATTCCTGAAAACGACCCGTCGGTTCATACCACTGATCCTTACACCCCCCCCCCCAAATTTCTTTCGTTTCCACAACAACCAGCTCAAGGACGAAGAGATCCGTCTCGAATTTCCCCAATCCCTCATTTGTTCTGCCTTCCCAACCCGATAACGGAAAGCAGGGAGCCTCAAAGTCCCCTTGTATCGCCAGGAAGCGCAGTCGAGGTTACAAGACGGCTTTTTTTTTTCCTATCCTTGGCACTCGAGCACCCACAAGATTGTTTATCCATCCAGCTGTCCTTGGCGCAAGGGGGCCCCGACTGTCACAAGGAATTTTTAATATCCCTTGCCCCAAACCCAGGCGGGCCGATGGCAGCACTTGATGTTGCCACCTGCCAGACCAAAGGATCTCTCGTTCTCTCATTGTCGCTCTATTTGTCTCGATACAGTCAGTACTCGTACCGTACAGTACAGTACAGCTTGTTTGATACGCTGGGATCCAATTGACCGCTCGTTTCAGAATAATACCATTCTGGAGAAAACACTACTCGAGTATAGTACTGTACCAGCGTCGCACCCGGGCCTGGTGGGTTGCATACTGTCGGCACAAGTACCGGTATGGTTCCAGTGCTTGGTGGTTGTCCTACTGGTAGGCTAGAAAACAAATGACGCGTCTCCTCTCTTCTGGTTCGCCCTCAGGTGGTCTTCTCCCCATCGGAAAACAAGCAATGAGCGTGTCGGATTGCGGCACCCCCACGAAAACCTAGCCATTCATGTCGATAGGCAGAACTTGAGCAACATATTTTTCTTCCTTCTCCCATGAGAAGCCACAGTGCTTGAGTACGACGACCATTTCCAAGGACCATCTACTTGTCGGCAATCAATTGGCAAATTAAGCCCGCTCTAAGGGCTCACGAGGCGACGTAATTACCTTGTATCGACGTAGAAGCAATAGTTGGATACCGGTACCCTTCTTCGTGTCCAGTCCGAACCTTAGTCTGGCAAAGATTTCTGGTGTTGTTCCCCGAGAGGTTCCACAATCCTGGGGACCAATTATGACGACAGCTTTTCCCGGGGTACAGAAATCCGAATTTTAGCTACTCGAGTACAGTACTGTACCAGCTCAAGTACAGTCTAGTCTACGAGTTTTGAACGAGGGATGATGAAGCCAAGTAAACTTGTTACCGGTATGACACGGTGCTCGTAGTCTACAAATATCCCGATGCACTTTAAAGCGGCATGTGAGAATCCATTACCGGTAGCTGCCAGGCTGAGCCACTAGTCAAGTTGCAAGCCAGATCTCAATCTACGCTTCATGACGGTGGGGCGCGATGCGGGAAAGCCTTATCAGCGGTGCCGGTACCGATACAAAGGCACAATGACAGGGTTCGCGAGCGCCAATTATCACGCACACAAATTCGCCCTGTCGCTTGTACCACCAAAAAGACCCGAAGAAAAAGAACGGAAAGAAAGACCGTGGGTATGTATCTCGAGTACGAGTACAGTACTCGTACAGGTAACCTAACGTGTTGGCATCAGGTATCATACCGGTATCGCCTCAAGGAAAAAAGACGAAAATAAATAGAGCTACGGCGTGGCAAGAAAGGTTCCTGAAGAAGCCCAATGTTCCCCACCTACCGTAAATTTTGGACAAACTCGACCCGCCGTCATACTTCTTAAGGTTTCCCACCAGTTCTCTCGAGGCCAAATCCTATGGTAAATGTGCTTTTGGGGGGACAGCAGCTGCCATACCGTGCAAAGGATGGTGGCGTTTTGTTGGGGTGGGTGGCTTTCGGAGAGATTGAAATCGCGAGGCGAGTAATAAACTGTGAGGTTGACCAATATGACAAAGCTGGACGGCTTCCCTTGCTATTCTGGTGGTTGCCGTGAGACGATTTCCTGCCGGGGGCTCCAGATACGATGGGGTATTACTGTACGGTACCCTACTCGTACATGGCATGGTACGAGTAGAGCGCTTACCGGTCTTTGTCCACGCTTATCCCCCTCGCACCTCTTGTCCTCCTCCCCAACGGTTAGACTACCGAACTGAATTCCCAGGCTCAGGTTCTCGAAGCTCAAACAACTGCCCCTTGCACTTTAGAGTTTATTTATCGCCAATATTCTCATGAGATCTTAAAATAATTAGTTATTCATCGACAGGCAGGCTCCACGAACGATCTTACTGGGTCGAGCTCAAACCACACCCTCATGGGACTGGATGCGGTGCAACGCGTTGTGTCTGAATCATCCCGGCCTGGGGACCTGGCCTCGAGTCAACGGACCCCACAAGCTTGGCGCGGCCTCCTTTCTCTTTCTTTGGGAATCCTCATCATACCCGTACCGGTACCCAACTGTCCCCAGCTCTTCTAAAGCTACGGTAAGTTGCCCCCTCAACCATCATCGCCGGACTTTCCAAGCCTGATAAAAATATCCGTTCCAATGGTCGCCACTACACGCTCAAAAACGAACGGCGCCATCGCAAAGGTGCTGAGCGCTTCCAAGGCTGGCGTTACGAAGCGGACCAAGTCATCTTCAGCTGGTGGCAAGAAGCCCGTTTCAACTAAGAAGTCGACACAACTGCCCGTTGCAGGGGTAGCGAAAGAGAGACCTGCGTCGCCGCACGGCACCAACGCACCGTTAATCGCCCCTCGGGCAAACAGCACCGCTGTCCTACCCATCAAACAACATGCACCCGCCACAACAAACACTATCCTCGGCCAAGCAACCGCACATCTTCTCTCCGTGGACCCAAGCCTAAAGTGGCTTATCGAATCCCACCACTGCGGGATATTCTCGGCAGAGGGCTTAGCAGAACTCGCCGACCCCTTCCAAAGCCTTGTGAGCGGAATAATCTCGCAACAGGTCTCGGGTGCCGCCGCCCGCACAATCAAAACCCGCTTCATAGCCCTCTTCGCTCCAACCCCCACGTGTCCGCAGCCCTTCTTCCCAACGCCGGAAATGGTTGTAGCATGTCCGAACGATAAACTACGATCCGCTGGCCTCTCTGGGAGAAAAGCTGAGTATGTGGTTTCTCTTGCGGAGCACTTCATCGACGGCACACTCTCGCCGGAAGTCCTCTCTACGGCGCCGGATGCAGAGGTCATCGAGAGACTGACAAGGGTCCGCGGCATCGGGAATTGGTCTGCTGAGATGTTCCTGATGTTCGGGCTGAAGCGAATGGATGTTTTTTCCACGGGGGATTTGGGCATACAGAGGGGTATGGCGGCACACTTTGGAAAGGACGTGGCGAAGTTGAAGTCTGGTGGGAAGGGGAAATGGAAGTATATGAGCGAGACGGATATGCTCCGCCTGTCAGAAGGGTTTAAACCTTATAGAAGTTTGTTCATGTGGTATATGTGGAGGGCTAGCGATGTTAGTGTTGATGCATTGACTGGAGACGGCGGGGCGGGCAAGGGGAAGGGGAAAGCTCAAGCACGTCCCAAAGCGAAGAAGGCATGAGAGTGGATAAATTTGCTGTACTTCTTTGGGTGGATCAGCTTGTATATTGTATACCGGCTTCGGGGGGTTTCGACGCTTTCTGCTGTGCCATTTTTCTATCATTATTGTCCTATAAAACAAATACCAGTCATAATTTCCAGATTTACAGTTTCGAAATTCCTATCTTCCGCAGTGTGCTTGTGCAGGGCCCGCCGCGAACAGGACAGAAAAGGTGCCCGCCCGGCTATGATACCCAAACTAGCAATCGCGTTCACATAATATCACTCCTCTCTCCGCCCTATCCTAGCTTTCCTGGTGTATGATGGCAACCAAGTCCCCCCCTCTCCCCTGCTCTCTCAGGCAAGTCCTGTATGTCTATCGCCGTAATTTCTATCATAATATTATCATAATATTATTACTGTACCACCCAGACCAGTTAGTACAGACATGAATTGCTGACACTTTTTTAGGTAAATATACTTGGGACAATCCATACCGACACAAAATAGGATGGGACAAAATCTTATTTTTTCAGATTTTATCAAAGAACTTATTTCAATTCCTGCATTTCCGTTAGCGATAGGCTAACTTTACCAAGTGCACTCAGATCATTCTTCTGAGCTCTGAGTATGAGATAACACCTAAAACTAAAAACTCTGATATCCTTAACAGTTACGATGTAGGTATAATTGATGTAAGATCAGATGGTGCTGACGGGTTCAAAAGTTAAGGACAAATACAACTGACTGACAAAAATGCCAATTTTTTGGAATAAGACATACAATGCTGACAGCTGACTGTACTAACTGGCCTGGTATTGTCATACAAGCCCTTGCACCGTATCCGGTAGCATAATTCGTTACCACCCGGCGTAATCTGCACCCAAAACCCTAGATATACTACAATATAATAGCTCGCTGTATCGACTACGATATCACACATATCATACGCCACACGGAGTTGTTACTGCCGCGCATGATACCCCGCTTTTTCCTTGTATCCCCCCCCCCGCTCTCGATACCCCACCATATAGAAACCCAGCGCCGGTCGGGATCGCATCCAGCAAACCCGACCCGGTTTTCCGCCCTGCGCACGACCGGTATCATAAGTATTTGAGATGGCGTTGTCTTGAGTCGTTGGTATGGTGATCGCCGTACTCTTTTATATCCCTTTTATTCACTGCCTGTGCCGAGATACGCGCGGTTGGTGTCGTGGGGTGGAGGGGAAAGGAGGAATTCTTGTCTCGTCGGGGGGGGGGTATTGAAGGAATCCTATTGCTTGTGTCGTACACGGTCTCGAGGCTTCCGTAAAACAAAATATAAGTATATTAATTTTTATTGCGCTGTCCGCTTTATCTGAAAGCATGATGGGATAGATTTGTGATGGTCTGTTCATCCAACTTGAGATCTTTCTTCCTTCTGCCCTTATCCTCATCCTCGAGTGATGCCGCATGAAGTTCCACTTCGTCCAATCCCAAGGTCAAACGAACCCGAGGTTGATTTTTAGCCCAGAACCCTTAACTCCTTTCTTGACTCTTAACCCTATACCCCCGCCCCATGGGGAGTGTTGACTTTTCTGACCGGCCCGTCTATGTAAAGGAGCTTCTCTCCACCTTTCTTTCTGCTTTCTCATTAGCAGTTTCCACAACCAGATGCACATGCACAATTCTGTGCGTCTTTTATTTTTATTTTTATTTTTATTTGGAGTTTTTTTCGCTAATACCCCCACGGGTAGCAGTTCGGGTTTGTAATTTGATATAGGTTTGTGTTTCACCTTTTGTTTCTATTGATACTTGGCTAACTTTAGTGGGATCGGGGGTGATGAATTCTGTTTTGCATAGATGGGGGATATTGGGTTGCAGGTCATGGCTCATGAGCGACTTGAGCACGCACCTACGGTATCCGTAATCGGAAATTCCGACACGGGGTCACTAAATTTTTTGGGTTCAAAAAATGTTAAGGGGCTATCGAATGTTAGGGTTGGTACGGCTGCTACGGGTACTCCCTCGGGATCCCCCGAACCCACACGGTACTATAGCTTCAATTATTTCCATCATACTTGAAGGGGGAGGGGGTATAGTAGGAAAGCTGAGTCAGCGCCTTGCGCTCAACTCCAAACTCCCCCCAACAGCTAGAGATGTGCAGGGATACAATACTCAAGTGCACCATTTAGATTCGACACTTGTAAGGGAAGGTGCCCATAGAGGGATCGACAGGGATATATCGCTATCCCGACTCCCCGCTGCAAATATTGTCCTGCTGGTTTCCAGATTGTGGAATTGACCTTTGTAGGGAGTTTTTGGGGACTTCTCTGGTTTGGATATTGGGAGAGGAGGACAAGGTATTTTTCGCTAATGATGAATTTCGACGCGTGGATATGTTGTGGATTTACCATGGATCTAGGACCGGGGATTGAAAATTGTGGATAGGAGAGCCATACACAGCTAGGCATTCCGACCTGGAATCACCACATTACTATCAGCTCCGAAAGCCCTCAGGGAGATGGCTACCACCGTTCCGGACACATGAAGGTATTTCTCCCTCAAGGGTGCCAGCGAGGATGCATCCGTATCCAAACCTCCTCCGGTAACCCCTGTCCAGTGGTTCCCCGACCACTGGGTTGGATGTTCTTTAGAAGAATCATTTGGAAGGCTCTTCCACATGGCTGTTCTCAGCTAATCCCTAGCCAAGAGCGCAAAGGATGATGTAAGCACTACCCACACGATCCCTTCCGGTCCTTTCTGTCTCTTTTGTCCGGGAATTGTGTTTGCGTCTAGTGGCGTCGTTGACCTCCGCCTGGGGAATTTTGTGGCTTGCCACTCTGCCGGGTTCAATCTCCGGAATTTCTTAGATTTTGTCGTTCGTGGTATCGGCCCAAACGTGGAAATAGGAATGTTGGGTTGGTGGTTCAATTTGTGTTCCGACTTCCGCAGTTTATGCACAGTGCCCCGAAAGAGCTCATCGTCACTTACCCTCTTTTACATAGGGAGTGGCTATTTTTGCAACCGCGGGACAGCACTATCTATATACACCTCAATCGACTGCATACCAGCTCAGGGTATCAGGTGGTGATGCGGACTTCACAATCCCCAGTTTGGGCAGGGTCGGTCCGATATGCCTAGTGTTGGTTGCCGATGTTGGAGATTGGAATTTCAATATAATAAGTAGCAATGCCCCCTGCCCCGCCCGGGTCCTCCTTTAATAGCCTGCAAGTGTAGGAGCGCCCCCCTACCGTGCTTAGAACCGTGCCGGTATGATACTACCTGCTCCAACCCATACTGTTGAAACATACTTCTCGCACTACTGCAGTCTTACTCCTACTACTGATACTTTCTCCTTGCATTAAACCTGATGGCGCATCTAGACATCCTAGACTATTGAAGACACCTCCTTGCCTTTCTCGCACACCTCTTTTCTCTATTATTGTTATTGTTCGCTCAAGCTATTTGCCTTGCTCCAAAACAGTAGATAGTCAGGGTCTTCAGCTCTTCCCTTTGGAAGTGTTAAGCATTCAAGTTTCTCAAGAAATCGATCACTTCTTTATATCTCGTATCATCGTTCTATCCAGTATTCTCACAACACATACACCCGGAGTATCCACGAGTGATAATATGTGACGGTGTCTCCGGTTTTACGGTAATAGCGCCGCGGGTCCCTATATCACATGGAGGGCTGGTTCCTATGCGTCGTGCTCGAGGACCTTCCTTAAGTTCCCTTTCCGGTTCTGCGGATCCCTTGCAGCCAGTCTACTACGGTGCAATGCTACATCTTGTTTGGTATATGTATACCAGTGCCTGAATCCACCTACCTCAATCAATCGATTAATCAATCGATCAATCGGTCGCACACGCAAGCATCCGTAACATAATAATATTCTCAAGAAAATAGTATGTATTCCACTCCCCAAACGCCAATACTTTACAAAAGACAGCAGGAGCAAGAGAAAGAAAAAAGAAAGAAAAAAGAAAGAAAAAAGATAAAATAAGAGTAGAGCAGAATATCAACGTGGAAGATCCGCCCCTAGTCAGCCAGCAAAAACAAGAGGGCAGCAATAGGAATCAGGATGGTCTCCATTCCATTACTTCGCCCTCGGGATCAGACAAAAGAAATGTAAAGAAATGTAGGAGAAAAGACAACTTTTTTAGTTAAGTACAAATCACATTACCCCCTGATCGATTAGGGAGTGAAGAAGAAAAACTAGCGATTATGGTTTAAAGGTAGGGTTTTCTTTTCTTTTATTTCCTCTTTAATATACCAAATCTGACGATGAAGGTGTGGGGTTATGGGTACTGTCAACTCTACGTGATGGCTATGATGGCGATGGCAATAATGAGGGGTTTAATTTCTTATTTATAGTTTTGCTTGGGGAGTGTCGTTCCCAACAGTTGCGGTGGCTTCCTTGTTGATGGTGACTTGACCGTTATTTTCGGTATTGTCGCCGAAGAAGATGACCTCGACGGTAAGATCGTCTCTGTAGAGGGATTGTTAGTTCATGTAAATACATTTCGGGTGATTAGGGATCTTGTGAATATACCTATAACGTCTGGAGTAAGGGCTGGGCAGTGTCAACAGCGCACAAAGCATGTCCTGGTTCATCCCACCAAGTGCATTTCTAACCAGATGGGTGGCAGCGTTTCGGTCTTCGCAGACGAACCTCTCGCTGTCCTTCGCCGTGACTCCCCACTGCTTGATACGAACGGGTTGGCGCTGACCAGTGGCGTCGTTAGTCGTGACCTCCACTGGTAGCATTCCCTGGTCCTTTCCTCCGAACCAGCTGCCGAACCATGGCTTTCCATCCTTGGAGGCAGCCTTCTGATCATCCAGCCATTTACCAACGAGTCCAACGACTTCCTCGTTCGTCAACATTTCCCATAGTCCGTCCGTAGCCATTACCAGGAAATCGCCCTTCTCAGGTTCTATCCGGGTTGTAGTGATGGCTGGTTCTGCGGTGACATAGGGGGGTGTTTTCAATAATGTGCTAGGGGTTCGTCCGAAGAACTGATTCTTAATCTTCAATTGAGTGTCATAACTCCACTTGTAGAAAGCGTCCCCGAATGCCCGTGAAGGCTCAAGCCCACCCAAAACACGTCCGTTTCTCACGACATATTCCTCTCCGGGATGCTCCTTCCTCATCCGTTCGGCCTCGGACTCATTGGAACCGGTCTGATCTTCGGAAAGAGGTGTTGCGGTCCATTTGCCGTTGCTGCCGCGACGACCCAGCACGGCCCTTGAATCACCTGTAACGGCAACTCTCAGGAGTTTCGAGCGGCTTTCGTAAAACGCGAGGAGCGCGCAGGAACCGGAAAGCGCGGGTGCTAGCGTCTCGGCGGCTACCAACTTTGAGGGATTCTTAAAAACCTTGTCGACGCTCTCGTGGATGATTTCGTGATCTAATTGAAGAAAACCCTTCTTGATAGCGTTGTCAATTGATTCGGGTGATGGCGTCTTTGAGGTTGGGTCCGTGACGGCTGCTTTGTATGTATTGCTGATCTCGCGAGCGACGAACGTGATGAGAACTTGACGGAGTTTTGCCGAAGTAGTCCAGCCACTGTAGAGGGGCAATTGTTAGTCATGTTAAAGCAATTTGGGTAAAGAAGGCGTTGAAAGTTGAAACCATCAAACAAACCTATGACCGTCAAAAACTCCCCAAAACATCCAATCGCTAGGGCCAGCTTCTTGTCCTTCCTCCACTGGTACTACCGTAGGGGGAACTTCGATAATCTTCTCCGCATGATCATCTTCAATAGGGTCGTTGCTGGGAACCTGGACCACATCGTATCTCCAAACACCTTTTCCTCTACCAACAAAGTAACTCTCCTCATTTCGTCTCAACTTTGAGGTAGCTTGTTCAGGGGTTAACATCTCGACGACCTTCTCCCCGTTATTCTCAACCTCTTTGCTAACCCTTCCTCCAGGCCCAGCGGAGAGGGTCCCCGTATAAACGGATTCGCTGTCGACGGCCACAACTTTCCTCGGGCCCTCGGTTGCCCCGGGTCCAACTGCGGTGGTGGTAGCGGATGGGGTTGATGACGATTCACCCGCAATGGGAAACCCAGTTTCACTAGCTCCCAAAAGAGTGTCCCTATAGTACCAAGCACCCGTCAAAACCAAACCACTCAGTAGGGCAAGCGAGAGCTTTTTTGTATTCATGGACCCAGTGCCGGAGGTGGAAGGGTTAGAACGGGTTGAGAGAGGAGCGAGCCTCAGAGCTGCGACATTCCTGGGGCGCCTCAAGGGCAGCACGGTTGTACTCCTGCGAGCGGTGGATAAAACTGATCGTAGTGATGCTCTCTGCATGCTTCACTATGGTTGGACGATAGCCGGTGAGGGTGGTTGATTTTTTTTTTCCGCTCTGTTATGGGTCCCGGGGGTTGTTGTGTGTCAGTGGGCGAGAGTGATGGGCGTTCCTAGATCTGGGGGTTACTTTGGGGGGTTCGGACCAACGATTTTTGGGTTTTCGGGCTTTTGGGCTGGGGCTCAGTGAACATGATTAGGGAACGCTGGCGATGGACATTTCATCTATGCAACATGTTGGCTTCCATCCAAGTGAGCAAAAAATAGAAAGAAAAAAAATTAGCATGAGGCTCTCTAGATGTCTTTTGTAGATTTATTATTACTATGCCCTGCGCCTATTTGATACCACATGTTGATCATATCGTCTGATGTTTGGAATCTTATATTTTACTCCCATCATGAGTTATTGAATTCTTCGGGGTGATGGTGAAGGTTTTTCTTCCTTCTCCTCCCTCTCGACGACGTGTGACCTCCGGCGTTGCTTTTTGGGTGGGTGTGCTGTATCCTACCCAGTGACACACCGGGACAGGGGACAGGTCAGACTGAAAAGAACTCACGAAACAGCTCATAGATCGGGGCTTCAGTGTCAAAGACTTTAGCAGAGAAAAAAGAGAGGCGGCGTTGAGTGGGGGAAAGTCGACGTGTTTCTGCGTGTCGGTTAGTGGCTGCCCCATTGGGTCCCGGCTTACAGTTCGCTGTGCTGTCAGTACTGCAAACACATGCCATAATCTACCTTACTCTACTCGTACCCGAGAGTTCCCACCTTGTAGAGCATCCTACTTGGCACTGCCATACGGTACATTACCGGTACCCTATTACATCGTGCCCGAAATGCTGGTGAGCCCATGAGTCTTGATCCGAATCTTGTATTCTATCATCTAAATCTAAGGTTGTGGACTCGCCCATGGATCATCGAAACATCCCTATCATAGAGCACGTGAGTGCTCTACCCCAATCGAACGGGGACAAGGGCTACGCCCTACAGGGTGTTGAGGCTCTTCTCATCTGCAAACCCCTTTCCTGATTGGCCTAGCGCCGGCCAATCACGGGGCCCGCCCTCCATGCATTTGGGATACCAGAATCCAGCAATTTGGGCTTGGCTTGGCGTTTATTATCTGCCCCATCAATTCAACAAAAATCAGATAGAAATGATTGAAGGATAGGGTTTGACGCTTTTTATTTGCTCGCTCTTTGTTCGGGACGGGTATCACAATATAGGAGATGGTGTCCTTAGTAGTTTTGCCAAGTCACTTGCCTGGTTTCCGGGTAATTTTGATGACTTGCGATCGGAGGTAGAATTCGGGCATCATCAGTGCTTTTTTTCCCAGCAGAAAGCAACACTTTACGATACCTGCAGCCAAGAAAATTATATGCTAGGGTGCTTCGGCTTCTGGGCGGGGGGAGGGCACAGCCATAAGATCGGAACCAGGCGTATTTGTGGATTTTTTTGTTTCTGGAGGTCCGTAGAGACACATTGGATAGGGGAAATGAAAAATCTTTTCTTATGGTGCCGAACCAGATGATAAGTGTGATCTCAACTCATCTTGGTAGGATTCCTGCCCACGCATTTTAGCAACAGGGATGTTAACTTTATGATATTCCGGAGGTTAAACCCGCACAAACATTACCAATAGATCTACTGCTACCAACACCTGTACCGGAATGGTGCCGGGCGCTTGAAATGGGCACTTATTGGTAATTTATTTGCTTACATAGTGCATGCGAGGTGGTGGGGCTTGGCTAAGGTGAATCGGTGTCCGCTGTTTCCTCTATCAGCGTTGATTGGATGGTGTGCCGCACGTGCCGTATCCCCTCTCCGTGATATGCTGTGTGACCTCTTGTTAATCCTCACAATAGACAAGTGCAGAGTGTCCTGACCCGGTGTCAGTAAATACACCGTGTAAGGATAGGCTAAAGAGGAAATGTGGCTGGGCCAATTGAAAGAACTGATGAGTGGTGATTTATTGCTGTGAACTCCCGATGGTCCCATACTCCTAAACTAAGGAACAAGAAGGTGGCTTAAATACAGAAAACTCTGCACGCCAAGCAAACTACTTAACAAGAACTTTTAGTGGGTGACGAAATGACCTGCATGACTGCTAAACTACCCTTTCCTATCTCCCTAGGTCACAAGGATCTTCCTCCCCCCTTAGCCTTCACCCTCGATGGCCAACTAAGTATCTCTCTGAAGAACAATTTAATCTACCATATACTCCCCCAGCTAGCCTATTCCTCTGCCGAGTGACCTGTTATGATCCTGCTGCCCATTGTCTTCTCTCTGCACCTTACTACTCGATGCCGCCGGTCTCATCCCGCCAGTGCACATGTACCTCTCTCCTCCTCTGGGCCTCTACCGCTCTACTGCTGGCATCATACATCTCCCCAATCTGTTCCCCCTGTTCCTCCCTTCCATACTCGTACAAATCTACCAACTTGGCTTCCTTCGTGACCACTGGACGTGTCAGATACAGCTTTAGATTGTTCAGATGTACACAATCCTTTAAACCTCCCTTCTTAATCCGTACCAGCTCCCGTGTGTTGATATCATAGAGTCGTCCACTCTTGCCATGCCATTGTAACGTGTTCGCAAAGTGCTAATCACGTTATTAGTAAAGGATACGATAGTTGGCAGGTGGCCTGCTCTTCCGGAGAGGAGGCGAGAGCTGAGAACTAAAGGAGGCTTCGAGGGTGTACTGGGAAATAAAGAAGTAACCGTTCAACCAAGTATATTGAAATACTGTCTGTCGAAGTCTGCCTTTTCTATCGTAGAAACAGGCGGTTTTTAAATACACAAATCTGTTCATGTCTAGCATGAACGAAACTAATCAAAGGTATCAATCGATACACTTTCGTAAAAACTCCTTAAGTATCAAAGCGATACTTTTTAAAACAAAACATAATACAAAACCAAGTATCAAACGATACTTAAAACAAACTAAGTATCAAAGCGATACTTAAAACAAAACATAAAACAAAACCAAGTATCAAACGATACTTAAAACAAACTAAGTATCAAAGCAATACTTAAAACAAAACATGAAACAAAACCAAGTATCAAACGATACTTAAAACAAACTAAGTATCAAAACGATACTTAAAACAAAACATAAAACAAAACCAATAACCGAGTACCCGTACCGGTTACATTCCCCAAAACAAAACAACTGTTTAAATAAACAAAACCTAATAATCATCAAAAGCGGAGTCTGAGAAGCTAAAGGCTTCAGTTTCCGCTAAAAACTCTTCATCATAGGTGTCGCACCAGGGGCAGGAAGAAACTCTAAGGAAACATTTAGACTCAAAGAAATGTAAATCACAGTAGTCGCGAATACCAGATTCGCGCTGTACATCAACCCAAGCATGGTCGCAATCAGGACCGTAGTCTATCCAGAGGATTTCAAAATAGTCTTCAAGTTGGATAGCATCGCGGTTCAACAACAGTCCAACAATCTGTTGTCGTAGCCTCACATTGAGCTCCACATAGTTTGACATCGTTATGGTATTCAGATGGTGATTGGTGACTAGATAAAGTTATCGAGAGCCTGCTCCATAGCTTGATTCTCCTCATCGCTGCTTTCGAATTCTGACTCAAAGTATGGTGCCCAAAATACATCTCTAGCTTCGAGTTCTGCATGCCATCGTTCAGTTTCTGGCATCGTAGGTGTCCAGCACATGGTGATATAATTGATTGTTGGGTGGAGGAATTCGTTTGGCATGTTGTTTTTCCACCATTCGTTTACCATATCCATGGCGTGCTCTAGTCCTTCTAGTGGTTCCCAGCTGTTCTCACTTGTCGGATATCCTTTCCATTTGACTAGGAACTGATCATTTCTATGCCAAAGGCGGTGATCTCTGATTTCTTCAACTTCCCATTCATATTTCTTATCGATGATGATAGGTACAGGCCGAGAGTGTGTTCTTCCAGGGAACTTAGAGTCGTCATTTGGATGGAATCGCTTGACAGATGAGGCATGAAAGACTGCAGTATTGCGGCGATACATGCGTCCATCCATCTGGACCTCGTAGTTTTCTGTATGTTTGTCAAAGGATAAGACCTTGAAAGGTCCTCGCCACCGGGGTTGCAATTTCTTGCTGCGTACAACATTGGTAATGAACATGTTTCCATGTACCATGAGCATATCTCCTGGCGGAATAGGGACATGTTTGCGTCGTCGTTTCTGAGCAGTAGTGGTGCTTCGGAATCGGGCAGCTTTAACAGCTTGGAAAGCGTCATTCCGAATCGCTTGGTGGCGGTTTAAGTGGTCATCAGAGGCAGGGACTGAGGAGTTCTTGAATAGGGTTGTAGGTAGGAGAGGATATTGGCGGCCGAAGATTGCCTTGTATGGAGACATTCCCAAGGTGTCTCAAAATCCGGTATTGATATATGCTGCTAGCTCAACAAGGGCTGGTTGCCAGTTGGTTTGTCGTTCATTGATCATGTTCCTAATTCCGGTCTTAACCTCTCGAATCTTTCATTCTGCTTGGCCATTAGTCTCATGGTGTCCAGGGGCAGCCATAATGTGGTTTATTCCGAGGGAGGTTAAAGTTTGCTTCCAGAATCTGGCGGTAAAGCGGGGATCAGCATCACTGACAATAGATAAGGGGTACCCATGGGGGGTAAACAGGTATCGTTGGATGTTATTCCATGTGTCTTTGGAGGAATCGGTAACCTTCATTGGTATGAGCCATGTGTATCCAGAGAATCGATCCACAGCTACCAAGATGGTATCATACCCTGCCGACTTGTTGAAAGGTCCTGCGAAATCGATGGCATAGGATTCGAATATTTCACATGGTAGTTGGAGGGTTTGTGCTTTCCCTTCAGGTAGTTGTGTTCGCTCCTTATTTGCCTGGCAGGGTTCACATTGCTTGACAAAATTGTGGAAGTCCTTTCGCATTTCAGACCAGTAAACATATTCTGAGGCATATTGGAGGTTGCGGTCCGCACTATGGTGTCCTTTGTTGTGGATTTCGGAGATGACATATTCCCTAATAGTCATTCCGTTGAACATGTGGCCTTTCAGAATGTATAGACAATGTTCACCATAACGGGTGCTGGTATAGACCATTCCGTTAGATATGTTGTATGGAACAAGATCTCCATGTCAGGAGCTATCCATGGCTTTGAAGTAAATTGAGGTCATGGCGATATCCTGCTATTATTTG